CGTGATAATGATGCGTTCCAAGGTTTCCAAGGTTTTCATGATCCCCAGGGTTCCCAACATGTTCCACATGGGCTCCAGAAGCGAGGGCCGGTAGATATTGCTTCGAAAAGCTTCAGCGCAGCTTGAGTCAATCCTATCATGACATCATCCTCGTCAACAACATGGCAGCCACACCCCTGACCACGACGGGTGGATGCCGCGACTGGGGAACGGCCCGCGCTCGAACGCAAACCCCCCAGGCCTCGGAACCGCCACCCGCACCCCCACTGGCGGCACCCCTCCTGCCGGTGATCCCCGCGGGTGCCGCCAGCGTGGGCGGGGGTGTCAGTTTTGGAAGCAATTGTTTCTGGCGTAGTTTGCTACCGCGCAGCCCGCCGTAACCTTGACCGAAGCGAGCTTCTTCTCGCTGCGGACAAGCAGCCAGGATGCTTGCGCAGCTCCCAGACCCCGTCGCGTTGCTGAAGATTCACGGCGGTCTGCAGTGTTCGTGTGTGTACATGTTTCTGCTGGGGTGCCCTTGGTGCGAAGGCTGCACTAGCAACCTTAGGCTCTCTGGGTTCTCGGGCTTCGCGAAGCCCTTCTGTGTGTGGAGGCGGCCTGGACAGGGCGTGGGACCCGGGAGGTTATCGTGGAGTCGGGCCTGTCCCTCTAAAGGAGGAATCTGCAAAACTAGTGCCGAAAGAGTCTGGGGACGATGTTTGAAACATGTTTGCCCGTTTCTGAATATTCGAAGACTAGGCTTGCCTTCTCGCCCACCATCCGCCTGTAGGAGGACATGCCCGACCTAAGCCTGTCGCTGGGGCGGCCGCGGCCGCACGGGGGGGGGGCTCCCTCCCCTCCTCCTCCTCTCCTCCTCCTCCTCTCCCTCCTCCTCCCCCCCCCCTCCTCCTCCTCCTCCCCTCCTCCTCCTCCCCTCCTCCCTCCCTCCTTCCTCCTCTCCTCCCCTCCCCCTCCCCTCCTCCCCCTCCCCCTCTCCTTCTCCTCCTCCTCCTCCTCCTCCTCCTCCTCCTCCTCCTCCACAGGTCGCGCGTGGTGTCTGAGTGGGGGCGCGGGGCTCAAGCAGCACCAAGATGGCCCCTAGGTCCCCCAGACGCCTTCCAGACCCCTTCAAAAAGAAGGCTCCATCATGCCCCAAGGGCCCCCAATATGACCCCAAGAGGCCCCAAGAAAGAACCAGAAAGCGCCCCCAGAAGAGCCGTGGCCAGGTTGGCTCAAGTTTTTATTCGAGATCTCCTTCAAGAGCGCAGACGTTTGCTCACATCAACGGGGTGGTCATATGGCTGAACCAGTATGGGGCGACAGCTGCGCGGTGCCATTTCTCCGCATGGAGACGCGAGACCTAGTTTGGCGCGGCGCTGGATTTGCCTGCCGAGCAATTCGTCGCTGGTGGCGGCTGACAACGGACAGTCATTATCTCGCGTCGTCAGCAAGCCGGAGAACTTTTTGGAAGTACTATTGGGTTACGATTGTTTTTTTGGCTTGCTCTTTGGTTGTGCTTGTTATGTGTGGGGAAGGTTCAATTAGTTGGTTTTGGTGCTGTCTTAACCCAGGCGTTGATGTTGTGCTTGCTGTTGTCCTTGGCAATGGCGGCATTGCCAACGACATCCCTGTGGTCGGATTTCTTCATATCCACCATGTTATGTGGAATACATTGGTTAGTTTCTTTACAAGCTCCCGTGAATGCTATTACCATGCAACTCCCGTTGTTCATTATTTTGTGCTGGGCCTATGGGTTGCACAGTTGCTTTGTCTTGCAGTTCAGCATTTCTGGAATCATCAGCTGTGCGTTTGCGCTCCAAGCTTGGATTTGCTCATACACGTCGAAGCCGTTGCGGTTATGGTCCCAGTCCTCCTCCTTGAGTGACAGTCTGTGTCCCATTTCAACACAATGCAACAGGTCTTGAACGTTTTGACGGACGAGCAGTTGATCGTAAACAGGAGCAGTGGCATCGTTGTCAGCGTGAGCACAGGGGCGTCGGACTTAATAGGCGGAGGCGCTGTTGGAACACAAGTATCCCAATTCGCACACATCAGTGATCGTGCCAACATGGAGCATCAGTTCAGAACGAGCAGGGGGCAACCCTCGGATAGCTTCCTAGCCACGCTTCACTACATGGATTCAAACGGTATACCCACGCACGAGTTCGAGGTTCGCATCATAATCTACGAGATCACCGGGCATCTTCTGCACATCGCCCTTCAGCTCGTGGGCGAGGTGAGGCTGTGCCACCTTGGCAATCGCAGCGCCGAGCAGCCACCGATGAGCAATTCGAGCGCCGCTTTGGCCCTGACCGAGGGCCCCTCACTGCAGGGAGATCGCGCGGCACCAGCTGCGCACCAAGGGCACTGGGGAGATGGCCAGCAGTCGACAGTCCACGGAGAGGAAGAAGCAGCGGCCGCCGACCACCAGGGCCTCGTCCTGCTGCCCGGACAGGCGAGCAGCGAGTCGTCGGCCGTACACCGAGGGCGCCAGGGCGACGGCGAGACGTCGGGACACTGAGGGCGAAGGGCTGCAACGGGGCCACGAAGGGCTGCAACGGGGCCACGGAGGGCAGCGAGGGGGACACGAAGGGCTGCAACGGGGCCACGAAACAAAGCGAGGGGGCCACGAAGGGCTGCAACGGGGCCACGAAGGGCAACGAGGAGGCCACGAGGGGCTGCAACGGGCCACGAAACAAAGCGAGGGGGCCACGAAAGGCTGCAACGGGGCCACGAAACAAAGCGAGGGGGCCACGAAGGGCAGCGAGGGGGCCACGAAGGGCAGCGAGGGGGCAACGAAGGCCTGCAACGGGGCCACGAAGGCAGCGAGGGGGCCACGAAGGGCTGCAACGGGGCCACGAAGGGGATCGAGATCACGATTCCTAAGTAATTTGTGAAGGAATTTTAATCGTGAGCGCGACTCCTGGGTGCCTGGGTGTCGGGAGCGCGGCGCTTGGGCAAATTGCAAGAAATTCCAACGCAAGGGCGCTATTCTTCAGCAAATTGCAAGCAAGTTTCCAGCGAGAGCGCGGCTCCAGAGCGCAGGAGGAGCGATTCCTGAATAAATCGTAAAGAAGTCCCAAGCGAGAGCGCGATTCTTGAATAAAGTGCGAGGAAGTCTCGGGCGGGAACGGGGGTCCTTGCTAAATTGTAAGGAAGTCTAAAGCGGGAGCCGTTGTTGTTGTAACCCGGGGGCCAGGGGGCTAGTTTGAGCAGGAAGACTTTCCTTGACAAAAAACAAGGTGCGAGCCCTGGGGGGGCACTTCAATTTAAAAAAATCAATGTGCACCGGTGAGGGGGGATCAGCAATATTTATTCTTCAAGAATCAGAGTTCAACAGCAGCAACAAAAACACAATAACGAGCTTGCCCAGAGGCCAGGGCGTTCTGCAGATCGATTTTCTCGAACGCCCTAGGCTCCCAGCTTCCACGATGCGAGTTAGTAACGGCCACGGCCGCATTCAAATGGAGAGATTCGTTTAAGAGTGTGATGCGAGTTAGTAACGGCCACGGCCGCATTAAAATGGAGAGATTCGTTTAAGAGTGTGGCATATTTATGCGGGCTGCCGAATTTAAGAATTCGGCGAGTCATGTGCAATCAAAAGTGATGGTTCGATACCAGCTCATACCCTGCGCTCACCACAAATTCATTGTGCCACACCACAACCTACGCAACTATGTATTTTATCTGGCGGCAGAACGATGTTGCACCGTTTCAAGGTTGTTACCCAATGTTGAAGGCACCTCCCAGCATTATACAATGCCAGCAGCGGTTGTGATACATGCGAATACGGTTCGCTCAATTCAACAACCCATGGAAGAAACGCATGTGTTTCATAAGCCATTGACTTCATATCTGGCGAGTCCCTGGATCCGATCATGTTCTTCGCACTATCACTTACCCTGTAAGTGCGAGGAACCTCGTTCGCTGTATACCATTGGTTTAACTGATCACTGAGCCTCTCGAGCGTAACCTCGGCAATCCGATCTTGACCACCTGAAGCACCAACATGGTTGAGGCCTGTGACTTCCCACAAGATGGCCGAGATTAATTTCGCGTGCACGCCTAAATATAATAGATGCATAATGGATAACATCACTGCCATGGCTGGCGAACAAAACGTGCCTGGCGCACACAAAGGGTTCCTATAGTCCAGGGCATCCATGCACGTTCGTCCATGCCATTTCGGCCTCCAGAAGCGCAAGGCCACTGGTGTCCGCACCGCCGAGAACTCACCAACGTCTGGCAGTTGCGGGCTGGGGTAAAGCCTGTCGCCCTTTCTGGAGACCTTGCGCGGGCACGGCGCCCACGAGAACTGTACCCCCCACGCCCCTGGACCTACGACCCCAAGATAAATACTGCAACATGTGAACGCTCAAACAAGGTTCGACGCGCCCTGGCCCTCTATTTCGCTGGCCAGGGAGGGCGAGGACGGCGGAGGAGAGGACGAGGAGGGAGAGGAGGAGGGGGAGGAGGAGGAGGAGGAGGAGGAGGAGGAGGGGGAGGAGAAAGAGGATGAGGAGGAGGTGGAGGAGGAGGAGGAGGACGAGGACGAGGACGAGGACATGGTCGAGGAGGAGGAGGAGGAGGAGGAGGAGGAGGAGGAGGAGGAGGAGGAAGAGAGAGGAGGAGGAGGTTACGAGGTTACGAGGTTACGAGGTTACGAGTTCAGCGAGGCGCATGTCACAGACTAGCGCCTCGGCCGTTGCATGCGGCGCCTGCATGAGTGAGCGCCAGCTCTCTGCGTGGAGAAAGATGGCAGGGCGAGCGCTCGAAAAACAGGCCACTGCGACCGCAGAGGCCACGCTGGCATCGGCAGCCTGCTCAGAACAGCAGGCCGCCGAACGCCCAGCTACCCCTCCTCAGTCCGAGCCAGACGTGGACTCCTCGGTCAGCGCCCCCTCGACACGAGAAGCATCCTCTGCGCGCAGCCGCGCACGGACAGGCTGGGGCACAGGCTTGCCCCGCTGCGCCGAGGAGGAGGAGGCGGAGGAGGGAGAAGCTGGGGTCCCTGCGCCACAGAATCCCCGAAGGGAGGGCGCAAGGGGGGCCAGAGGCGCACAGGATGCGCCAGCTCGCACGGTGCGCGGACTGGCCGTGTCACGTCGATCCCGCCCGACCGACGCGCCTTCAGACGACCGCCCGACGTCCCGCCCCCCATCACTATCGGGAGCGGCTTCGAGCCCCTCGCGCAGAGGGCGGGGTTCCTCCAACTGCCCTCTAGGCCGCGGAATCCGCACCTCAGCAGCTGAAGGAGCCCGACCCCTGCGACAAAAAACGGCGGCACCGGAGAGGGGCCACGGGCGTGGGCGTCGGACAGAGCGCTTTGCCCGTCCGTGGGTTGAGCCCGCGCTTCGCCTTCCTATCAGAGCCCCGAATCATCAGGGGTAACTCGGGTCGGGGATAACTCGGGTTCGTTTTTCGGGAATCCAAACCCGAGTTACCCCGGACCCGAGTTACCCCGGATAATTCGGGCGTCCAGAGCCCCACATTATCAGGGGTAATTCTTTACGCTTCGCGTATCCCCACCAGCCCATCTCACAGCAGCAACTCTCGCGAAGCATGCCGACAGTCGTGTTTTCCAGGCGTGTGTCCGCTTGGCCCCGCATATCTCCCCTGTTCCTCCTTCCTCCCGCCTCCTTGTACATCCTCCTTGTGAGGGGAGCGGGAGAAGGACGAGGCGGAGGAGGAGGGAGAGAAAGCGCTCCTCGTGATTTGAGTCGTTTGGGGTTTCTCGTCCTGGTGTGAGTCGTTCGGGCCCTTCTTCCTGGTGTGAGTCGTTCGGGCTCTTCGTGGTGTGAGTCGTTCGGGCTCTTCGTCCTGGTGTGAGTCGTTCGGGCTTCTCGTGGTGTGAGTTGTTCGGGCCCCTCATCCTGGTGTGAGTCGTTCGGGCCCCTCCTCCTGGTGTGACTCGTTCGGGCTCCTCGTGGTGTGAGTCGTTCGGGCGCCTCGTCCTGGTGTGAGTCGTTCGGGCCCCTCCTTGTGGTGTGAGTCGTTCGGGCTCTTCGTGGTGTGAGTCGTTCGGGCCCCTCGTCCTGGTGTGAGTCGTTCGGGCTCCTCGTGGGGCCTCTTGGGGGCCTCTTGGAGCCTCGTGGGGCCTCTTGGGGGCCTCTTGGGGGCCTCTTGGGGGCCTCTTGGGGGCCTCTTGGGGCCTCGTGGGGCCTCTTGGGGGCCTCTTGGGGGCCTCTTGGGGCTTCGTGGGGCCTCTTGGGGGCCTCTTGGGGGCCTCTTGGGGGCCTCTTGGGGCCGCTTGTGGGCCTCTGGGGGGCCTCTTGGAGGCCTCTTGGGAGCCTCCTGGGGGCCTCTTGGGGCCATCTTGGGGCCTCTTGCGACCTCAGAAGCGCAAATGAGAGCTGCCCCCTGAGAAGGACAAAATGAGGCCAAAACCTTCGTAAAATAAATGATTTTGCTATGAGGGAAGATGAGCGCGGCCCCCTCAGAAGGCCAGAATGGGGCCAAAACCATCGTAAAGTCAATGATTTCTGCTTCAAAGACGAGTTGAGGGGCCAAACTACCTCCCCCCCCTCGGGACCAGAATCCTCGTGAGGGTCGTCGTTTTTTGGCCCTCCGAGGAGTCGAAATGGACCCCCCTGATCCCACTCGGCCCGCCCTCTCCAGGTCCAGGGGAGGGGGTAGGGGGAGGGGTAAACCCCTCCCCGAAGGGGAAGATAAGGGGGTTAGGGGGTTGAGAACAGAGAGAGCTCTCTAAACCACTCACGCCCAACGGGCTGGTGGGATTCGGGTCAGGGCTAACTCGGGTTCCTTTTTCGGAAATCCAAACCCGAGTTACCCCGGACCTGAGTTGCCCCGGATAACTCGGGCGCCCAATTCCTAATCAGAATTCGATGATTGGCTCGCGTGTTAGCAACACGCGAGACTCCAGTACAAACTCCCTTCAGCTGGCGGCACGGGCCGTCAGGGAGCATGACGTAGCTGGCACGGGCTTCGCAGATCACAACATGCCCATACCTGGTCGGCTGGTGCCCTAACTCCTTGAAGACCTCAAGCTCGTCAGCAGGGCCGTCCTGGCTGGGAGGGGCAGGGGCAGGAGGCTGCACCGCCAAGTGCAGAGCAGGGGGGGAGCCAGGGACGGCCTGCGGGAGGGCAACGCCATCGAGGACCGCGTGTGACATGCTCGCAAAGAGAGTCCTCGCTCGCCACCGCTGGACATCGGTCGGTCGACAGAATCTCCCCGCCCCCGTGCGCAGCCCATTGAGAGTGTGCTCAGTCCTAGCGACGGCGTTGCACTGTGCACACCGCCACGCCGGCCGCTCCTTCAAGTAAAACAACTGATGCATCACCACCGTGAGGTGGTCTCCAGGCGGGGCCACACGAGGGGGGGGGGGCCCTCACGGTCAATCCGTGCCGCGTCGGCAGTGATGATCTGAACAGCACGCGAGAGGAAATTCCAGGTCCCTTTCACCGCTTTCAGGTGGGCGGACTCGGCATCCACCAGTGGCGAAGCGTCCTGGCTCGCCCGTGGGCCCACCAAAGAGTGTTCTGAGAGCCTTTTGTGGTCTG